GGTGGAAATGATGTTTTCATATGGGTTGATTTTATCCACCTCCTTTAGATAATCCATAATTCTCTTTGAAGTACAGTTCTAGAGCTAGATGTGGAATAGGTACATGTGTATAGATGCTTGTCTTTAATTTATAATTACAGCTAGATTTCCTTTTATATTCAACAGGATCTTGCTGTTAAAATACTAATATTTTGAAAATATAACTGTTTTCAAGCTTAAAATAAGTGTGCTGCTCGAAGATGCATAAGACCTTTGTGTTTTATCACAGCAACATAATTTGCTTATGAAGAATGTATTTCATCGTAATGTAAATATTCTATATATTACCATATTTTATAGCTTATGTTCTCTACTGGGTTACCAAATACACGCCGTCAATGATAGGAAGAAGTTAATATCACCAAGCTTTATTCCTGAGTTTCATAACTGATAATTAAGCACTTCTGCTCACATGGCCACAATAGTTATCTGCACAGTAAAAATATAAACTGTACAAGCATGATAGATGTCCATGGCTTCCTTCAGACAAACAATGGTATTTTTGTTATTCTGAGCATGTTTGGAAAAAGATCTGGGTCTCAACCAGGAGTCTTCGTTATGTGTGTAATAAAAGGGTGAGACACTTTAAAAACAAACAAACAAAAACATCAAAAAAAGGAAACTTCTTCACAGAGTTGTGTTTTTTTTTATTATTTTTATAATTCTCTAATGATTCATTATGGAAATACTAACAGACACATGATTCCTTTGGCTGAAATTGTTTGAGGCCTGTATATTAGTGTGGCATCAGTGTGAAATGTCTCTATTTTTGAGGAAAGAAGAGGGAGGGAATGATCTGTGGTCTGCTCAGGTAAAAATGATTTAAATGATTTTGTGACAATTGAAATCATTGTTACATTTCACCTTCTTTTTGGTCATTCGTGAGCCATGGGGCAGAGACTCGTTATTGAGCCAATAGCATTTGGTTTGCTGAGCTGGGCTACAAACTCGAGTCTCTGTGGCGGATGTTTAAAGGAGGGCTGCCCATGCTTCGAGTTTTGCACTTTCTGTGCCTGAGCTTGACTTCATATCACACTTGTAACCTATTCCTCCAAATTGCTATTGCAGTTTTGTATTGATCTTTGTGGGCACCAACCTTCAAATCTTATGATAGATGAGGTAAAAATTATAAAATACTACGCAAATACGGAAAGGCTGTGTAGTCATCTTCATCCTGTTGCCGGTTCCACTGGAACCTCTTGACCTAACTTTGTAGTTGACATCAAGTCAATGCAAGAGCAAGTTCTCGTTCCCTGGAGGTTCAGACAGATCAGAACAGGAAACAGCTTCAGACAAACTCATGCCAAATGCCATTCGCTGGGGTCGTGTAGATGGTCAGTCCTGGTGCAAGCCGTGAGGTACAACAGAAGGCAGGATCTTTTCCTGAGTGTATAACAAAAAAAAGATTTTTGGATTATCAACATTGAAATGATTCAATAGCTAGCTATAATGTTAAAAATCCTTGATTGAGTGAATGTTGATGTCCAGTAGTTTAAAAAGAAGCAAAAAAATCCCAAACAAACAAATACATTTAATGGACTTAAGATTGTTATTAGTCACAGGTCTCTTAAAGCAAAACTTCTGTTTGCAGGTCTGGAACTGGTTGGTGATCAGTGTTTCCAAGTTATGTTTCACACACAAAGAAAAATAATAGCAGTACCATCACAAAAATGCAATGATGAAATCAGAGATCAATTTTACAGATAGTTATAAACAGGTCTCTGAGAACAGAGGTTTTCAAATCAAGAACGTGACCACTGTAGGCAAGCACGGCACTGCTAGAACCTGCGATAGCGGTAAACCTGGGCCTGACATCCAGGATGATGATTTTTGCAACTACATTCTTTCTGAATAGTGTGTGTAACTTGAAATTATCCAGACAATTAAAAAAAAAAAAAAAAAAAAAAAAACCCAAACCCTAAATTACCTAAGGTTACCTATTTGCCAAAAAATTCATAGAAATGTTCAACTGTGGGACAAGTATACTGCCTACAGTTGTGGAGAAGATTTAAAAATTGTTTCAGAGTCACAGAGTGGAAGTATGCAACTGGATTCAGGGTATTTTTGAATTAGCAGTTGAAGAGACTTGTGTTAAAGAGCTTTTGTTGCAGCTTAAGTTCAGTAATACAGTAATAAGTGTGTTATAAAAGTATATAATTGAAAATCTGTTTGGTAGACAGTTATGAAACCCAGATGAGCAGACTGAAAGTGGCAGATGTAGCCTGCATACAAACACTAGGCCCTTGTGACTGGAAGGGTTCCTACTGCTGACTTAGTGCGCTGCTGGAGTTCAGCCTAACTGAGGTGCATTCCTGCCTGTGCTCAAGGTTCTTGGAGAGCACAAATTTTATCCAGAGATTTCATATCAAAGCTATAGTAAGAAACATGTGCTTGCATAGACTTTGTAGAGGTCTAGGTAGTGCTTTTCCCTCAAAATGCTTCTTTTATAGCAATCTTGCCTGCGTTTAGCCCAAATATTTTTCTTCAAATATTTCTAACTGCATTTTTATGGTGCATCCATATATAAATTAATAATTTTAGTTTCATGCTCTCTTCTCGTCCCTTAGATAATTATGCATTTCTGATGTCTGCATATGTTTTTTTCAAATGAATAAGTTGTAATGTATTCAAATCCTGTATTTAATATGAAAGGCTGTCTAAAAAGGTAACTGCTTCTCTTATGCCTGGTGCATTTCCAGCCTCTCTGAATGCTTTAAGTGTATTTTGATAGTATTTCACTAGTTTGTTGCTGTAGGGTTGGGGGTGCTCTGAAGACGCACAGAATTAGCCCACGCTATCGCTTGGCTCATATGAGAACACGTCCTGCCTGTGCCCGTATCTGCTGCTCCTCTGCAAAGATAGCTGACAACAGCTTAAAAATAGCAGGCCAAGGGCAGGTGATAAAATGTCAGGCAAGCAGCACCTGGCTCCGCGGCTGCCTGCAGGGAGAGAAAACCCAAGCCCAGATGTCACAGATACGGTTCTATTTCTGTAGCTGGTCAAACAGAACAATTTCAGCTTCAGCAAAGCAGGGGAGGAGAGGCCGCCCCCACGGAGCCTGCCTGCCTTACTCGATCTTTTTCATAGCAGCCCCCTGCTTTCTCTTATAAATATTAATTTACAAGTACAGGCTAATATATATGCCCAACTTCTAAAAATACGCGTTACCTCGCGCTCATTAATATACTGTTAAGCAATGGGAACTGCTATCAATCTGACAAGATTTCTGGGAGATTTAGCAACAGGCTAACCGAAATAATGGTAGGTCTAATGGTCCAGCTGGGTCAGATTAATGTGGAAATATATTGTGATCTATAGGCAATCTCCTAAGGAGTTTCGTCTAAGCAATTGAAAACTGAAATGGAAGATTTATTTTCTTTTCTTCTCCCCTCGTGCTTCTTTTCTGGAGGTGCTCGTTCCTTCTTTACACTTTTACAGTGTGGGCCCTTTTTTTTTTCCTAAAGGAATGAGAGGTTTATCATGTAAAGAAGATATATCAGCTTTTTTAAAGCGGCTTGCACCTTGGTTTCTGAAATGTCCTGAAACTTCTTGTTACATCTGTTCAGAAAGGGTATTGCAGCACAGAAGTCGCTGTGGCAGCAAGTAGAAGGCTTCAGTTTCTTGGTAGGAGCTGAAAATATTGGAGAAGAAGAAACCTGAAGATTGGCCTTAGTTCTGTTCTTGAAAGCAAATTTATTAAACTTAAAGCAGGGAAGGGAATTTGCACTAGAGGAGCTTGCTGGTTATATTGTTTCTTTAATATAGCCCATGGATCTTGAGCTCCCAGGCTCCAGTGCCCGTGTATTAAAAAAGTCAATCTCCTACTTTCTTAGCACCCAAACTTATGCCCAAATCTAAGCATAGAAGCAGTGCATGAAATGGATTACAGCCCATGTATGTAATTTAAATATAAAAAGGCAATTATTTTTAAGTTTTTTTTAAATCCTTTTCCAAGCAAGGACTATTATCAATTACAGCTTTCAATTTGGGGGAGGAAGGGTTGAAGAAGTTCCCCGTTCCCTTAGGGTTTGTTTTCTTAATACTTAAGCTTCAGTATCTAAGAAACTGAAACTGTTCTGAATAGTAGAATTAGCTCATTTCTTGCTTTGAAAGCGAGCAGATTTTTTGTGGGCTAAGTTGCCTTTCGAGTTAAGTAACTGTGAATTTCCTCCTATTTCCAGTTCCTGAAGTCAGCAGAGATCATCTCAGCCAACCTTTCAACAGTTAAATCTCACCTGAGAAAACTGGTGCTATTTTGCATCTCGCTAGCTACTAGGAAACGGGTGTCAGCAGCAGGGCTCGCTTCAGGTTCCTGGAGAACCTTCTGTATGTTACATTCTCGTGTAGGGGCCAGCCATAAATATTCCTAGACTCGTGTGTGCTTTTTCAAAGTACATATGAATATCTGTGCTCCATCAGACCACAGCTCCCACCAGCCCAGTATCTTGTCTCCAACAGCGAGCAATAGCAGATTCCTAAGGATAAATGTAAAAATGGGGTAAGCACTCCTGTCATCTGTCTGACTTCTGGTGTCAGAGGTAGCATAGAAAGGAGTGATTTAGTGTTGCCATTACAGTGATATGTATTTTTTTTAATGCTATATTCTTTCCTTGAAGCCTAAAATCATAAATAGCAAAACTGCAGCAAGCAGTGGGTTGAGCTGTGAAGTCCTATTTTGAGAGGGTAAGCATACTGTTTTCCTGGTACAAAGTAAAAGGAGGTACTAAAATATTGTTTATTCTGTGATTTTTTTTTTTTGGTCATTATTTTAAATACTACTCCAGTATATAAAAAGTACTCCACTGTTAAATATCTTAAGTGTGTGCTCTTGGGATTGTATCTTTTATAGATGGAAGTTTCAGCTACCCCAACTGTTCATCCCTTCGGCAATCTTTAATATTCATGAAATTAATTTAGTCTTGAAGTAAAAATATTTAAAATAACTTTTATTTACATTCCAGGGCGTATGGGAATAAACTTCCATCATCCAGGAACAGATAATATTATGGCTCTTAATAGTAAGTAGTTAATATCTAATGACTAATAATCATGTTCAATATTCTTTCTCCTCCTATAAATGTATATACATATGTATGTGTACATAGCTATGCTGCCAAAGACAAAAATGTGTAGTAATAGTAGTTTAACTGAGGTTAATGCTCTTAAAATAACTTGCATAAATCAGTAGCATCAGTTATCTCTGATTTATGCTACCCTGGTAGCACTCGTGTAGCTTTTTGTGTATTCCACCAGAACCTTCCCAGGGCTGCTCTACGTGGCGTTGCAGAACAGGCTTCTGCTTCTTCTGTGCACACGTGTGTGTGCACGTGCACATGCTCAATCTGTAAATTTAATTTCTGATATCTCTGCAGACTTACTGCTTTGCTTGGGAAGTGTTATTACAACTTTTGTTTAATATTAAATTTGCTGGTGGCATTTAGTTTTTGGTTCTTGATTTTTTGAAGAAATTTTCCTTGCCACATATCTATTTTTCAAAATGTTCAGTAAACTTTTCCATTTTTTAAAATCTGCAATTAATTTATATCTTCACAGAAAAAAAAAATTTACAAGTATTTGCTTAGAATGTTGTATTAGTCAGATGTGTTAGCATTAGTTTACTAACTTATTCTTTTATGATTTATAATTTTACTTTTGTATATTGTTGAAAGTTTAGGATATTTAGATTCTTATAATTTGATTTTATGTAGTGCCACTTAATTAAAAAATAATTTTGTAAATGAAATATTGAAAATTTCTAGACATTTTCAAGGAACTTTGCAATTGAGCAAGGTTTAACTTGAAAACTTTAGATGTTTAATGCTAGTTTTTGGAACTAGCATTCTAGAAAAGTTTAGAACTTCTCTTGTATAAAACTTACTCTTGGTGCTGTTTTCCTTAGTTTAACGTAGTTAACAATACAAATTTTTGGCAGTTCTGTTGTCGTAGGTATGACATAGGCCACATTTTGCAACTGGGCAGACAGAATTAATCGAAGTCAGGTAATTAACTGGGAGAAATGCTGCACCTAATTAAAGATATTATTGAACAGGAAAGCTGATCAAGTTTATATATGGGTCGGTGTAAGTAAGTTCTGCACAGTGCAGTCTGCCCTGCTTTGCTATTATTTCTGCTCTCACAGTATATTTTTTTGTTCCTATGTGGGCATTCCAGTAAGCTGATTTCAATTTCAATAAGCTGAATTTGAATTCTTAAAACAATTGATATCCATTATAGAATAGGTAGGAGTATTTCTTGCAGAGTAGGGATTGTTGAAAGATGGTATAAAAGTGAGCTGTCCCCAAATGAAATGTCTTTAATTTTGCATAATACGTTAGCTTTTGGGTTGAGTCTTCCATCCCTAAGTAAATGAATATATTCTCTTCTGGTTGTTCTCATTGATGGACAAATTATAGAAGAAACTGCCTTTTTAGTGGAAATAAAATTCAAGAAAATTGATTTTCTTATTTCTCATCCCTTTGAAATTTTATAGCGAGCTCTATAGTCCGCAAAAATGAAGATTCTTCCTTGTTACAGACTTGGTACAGGGCTAAAAGAATAGCAGAAATAACTAATGATCCTAAACAAAATATGTTTATACCTTTTTTAGGATGTAAAATAACATGGGATGGTTTAATATTAACAGATGTGGAATCATAAATATACAATTTATGCAAAATTGTTCTTTTGAGTAAAATTCAGCACACAGCATTAAATAAGGACTTTTGCATTGCCCCTCTCTTGCATCTTTTCGGCCTCTCATTATTTACTGGATGAAGTCAAACAATTTTTGTCAAACTAAGTGCCTAGAAGCCAGAGCTTTTGTACTGTGAAGCCATTCCTTTTGGGTGTTAAATTTTTTATTTAAAGATTTCTGGAAAATTAAGATCAAAAGCAAGTGTTTAGGTACACAGGCTTAGAAATTACTTGTAGTTGATCATGTACATCTTTTTATGTGCAGCTAAAACTGCCAAATTTGGAACTATGTAACTCCCATATGATCCATGTTCTTTGCTATGGTGAAATACAATAAGAAAAGATAATCCAAGGAGAAATATTCTTTCTTCTGCCAGAAGGGCTGCAGATGGATAAAGAAAACTTCCCAGAAGAGATTCTAGCCCAGTAATTTTTGGAAAAAAATTCTCCTTTTGGAAGAAAAGGAGAATTTATGTAACCTAAATCATGGCAATACTTTTAATATCTACATATAATTTCTATGCGACCAAACAGTGGCTGCTGAATTCAAAAAACGCAACTTTCACATTATTTTTATAGTCACTACATAAGCATTTTTTATCTTTTCGTTGCCAAGAATCACTAATAATCCCTCAAACTTATTATTAAAGGCTCACTTTATCATTAAGGATGTAACATTCTCTCTGAAATTACACTGGTTCTTGCCTACAGCAATATAAACCTTTACTCAAAACGTTGAGCAAGAGGACAGCTATTCTGGGTGGTGTTGAGCTGTTTGCTCCCTCCTCATGTCATGGACACACTTCCAAATGTGCTCTAGCTGGTATTGATTACCACCTTTGGAAACTTGGGATTTCCCCACCTGGTCTCCTTGAGCCTCTGGGTAGACTTAAGAGGGTTGCCCTGTTAAGAGCAGGCACACGAGCCATTTAATTGACCTTAAGATCTCTCTTAGGGAAGCTCTAAGTCATTTTATCATTTTGAAGCATTGAGTACCTGAAACTATATTATCAGTGGGATAGAGAAGAGTGTTTGTAAATTCCCAAGAATCCTATGAATACTTTCCTTGTTATTAGTGGCTATGCTTGTGTATATACACACACACATAAACACACACATGTGTAAATATATAAAAACAGATTTATAGAACAGTGAAGTTTGAAGGCCAAAACAAGAGTTAGGATTTTATTGAGGAATGTGCATGACAAAATATCCAGGGAGACCTGAGCCTAATCCTGAAGAGTTTATAAGCAAAATCAAAATGAAAATATTTAAATCTGGAAATACTGAGACAAGAAGAGGGAAAGATAAAATTTGGGGACATATTAACTGTTGAAAAACTTGCTAATACCAAATAAAATGTAATTTTTGTAAATTTATGTACACTACTTTCTCTTTTGTTACTACTTACACAAGAAGTCTGGATTTATTAGTGCATAACTAGTTTTCATCTTAAAAAAAATCTTCACTCAAAATACAAGATAACAATATCATTGCTTGATTACAAACTCTGTTTTAATATGATCTTGATCTTGAGATAAAGATACAAGATTTTTTTTAAGAGAACGTTAGTGACAGCAACTTATTAGACTAATGTGATACTGTAATGGCTAGCAGTGGCATAAATGGAATTACTGATTTGTATTAGTTTGTATAAATTTGTTATGATCTTGTAGATACCAAGTATTGACTGGGACAGCTTTAGTTAATATTTGCAGTGCTAATTAAAATAGAAAATAAGTTAATATGCTGGCCTTAATTAAAATGGGTTCCTCTGTCCCCTTTTCTTGCTAGCATTTGCTTCCATTTGCAAACAAACGTTTTTGCAGCTCTTGGCCATGTCACGGGAAGCTGGGCTTTGACTTACCAGATACCCCTTTAAGTAGATATCTTAGAAGTAAGTGATGAGCTGCCTGCTGCTTGGAGAGCTGTCGCCAGAGCTTCTGGTGAACTCCAAAAGCCAACAGCAAACTCGAGTGCAAGGGTGGTGGGTGCGATAAGAAGAGAGAAGGGGAATCAACTAGAGTGTGAGATCTTCCCCAAAGAAGCCCAGCACTATAGGCTTCTTATTGGGGTCTCCTGTTAGCTTTTACAAAATGAGTTTGTGCTAAAAGTAGATTTAAAAACAAACTTGTAATGTGCTAGAATTGTGTTTTTCCTAAAGATCCCATATGCAGTGACTTTGCACTGCGGTTGAGTTTCACATGCTCCATCTGGACATGTGTCATCTGCGAGGCCTGCTACTGTTTGTACCCCTTCCAATTGTCTTTTCTGTTTTTCACAGAAGTGTAATTTAATCATTTGATCTGAATAAAATAGATTGAGAAGTTTGTTGAGGTATTACTTTGGGGGAACATTTTTGATGTTTGTATGAAGATTTGGGTTTTGTTAATATAAATAATAGTTACACAGAGAAGTGTTTGTGTGTGACAGAAAATCTAATGTCAGAGAAACCATTTAATTTTGTATTTACTTGCTTCTATGGCTTTTAAAGTTTGGCTTTGTCCAGTACTTCTTGAAATGAGCAGTTCTAGGAAATTTATTGAATTATTTTTGTCCTGTAAAATCTTCAGCTTAGTAGCTTAGTGGCAATTTAGTAGTTGACAAAAGTATGTTTCTTACAGTGATAATATTACGCGTGAACACACAGTTAACTTGCCAGAGGTGTTTCTCTTTTCTAATATTTTTTTTCGTCTTTCTCTCTTTTACTCTTTTACTCTCTCACGTGCGCGCTCGCTCTTTATTATTTATTTATTTATTTATTTCTACCCCGAGTAGTAAAGGACACTTACTGGCTAGAGGTCCAAAGCTGACACCTGAATTTGCTATAAAATTAGGTTACTGATCTGTTGGTGATTCATTTTCATGTAGAGAATAATATAAAGGATTTGAAAGCAAAATCTAGTTAAACTGTGAAGAGCCGGAGTTTATTTAATTGGAGGGATGATGGAATAGCAAAGGGCTCATAAGTAGCGCAGAGTACATAAACTGTCACTGTATACGTAGCCTTATGAGGTTTTCAGAGTTAAATATATATAAACCCGTGTTAGGAGCAAAAGATAGCCCTGGTCTTGCCTTGAGGAAATGGAGTCAGTGATACCTCAAAGTCCCTTGTATAGGCACTTAATAAAACATTTTTAAAAAAATCCATGGGGACAGCAATTAGAAATCCTTCTCTCATCTTTCTGCCTATCGAGTTTTTATGGTAGCGTCTGCATTTTCTGAGTTCTGATTCAGCTGCTAAAACTGCTTTTTCTAGGAGAGAGAGATTTCTTAACATTTCTTCCTTTTAATCCCACTTTCTAGCTCTTTGCTACCTCATTTC